TACTGTTATTCACAGGCACACAGCTCAATTTCAGCAAAGACTCCAGTTGTTAGGGGGTTGCCACCTTCCACCAAGCTCAGACACATGCAAAAAGCCTGTTCCTGAGGCCCCTCAACGCCAAAAAAGCTGACCCAAGACAACTACCCAGCTCCACAATCTGCCACAGGGGTTCCTCTCTCTGGTCCCACCTGCCCATGGCACCGACCCAACCGGCCTAGACCGCGATCCATCACGGAATCTCCTCTATGGGTCTGCCTACCTGCGGCACCAAAGATCCACTCGGTTTCAGTGACACTGGAGTCAGGAGAGTGCCTCCTAGTAATCTGTGGTCCCAATATCACCGATAAAGTCAAGCACAGGCTCTCAGTGCCACTAAGCTGACCCAAGCCTGATCAGTGACCTGCTGCCAGGGCACCTCCCCAGAGCCTGCCCTCCTGCAGCACCAACAGACTCTGCTTGGTTTTCAGCAGTGCTGGTCATGCCCATTTGCACCTAGCCAACCCAAGTTACTGATAAAATCAAGTGCTGAAAGTAGATTCTTGGGGTGGTTGCTGGTATGCTGGTGTGGTTGCAGATATGCTGGTGTGGTGTGTCTTCTTCCTTAGCCCAGGGAGGTTTTGGATGGCCTTTCTCACCTGCCAGTCAGAGCTCTCCCAAGGAAGTTTCTCAGCTGCCTGTCGGCACTCCGCAGGATAGATCTTCTGATCTTGTTATTTTCCACCACCCCATCCCTTTTTCCTTTCTAATTCTACTCCTCTGAATTGGGTGCACTCTGACTCAGTGAGCTGTTCAGAGCACCAGAACCCCTAATTCAAACTGCTGTACCTAGTTTTTCAAGCACTAAGATGCTAGAGGGAAATAGCGTGGCGATCACTGACGAGACTCCATTTAGAATACCCATCTTTTTCCTGTAAAATAAATCGCGTTGCAGCCCTGTTACCTTTGTTCTCCTGAACTTTAGATTGTGAATCACTCAGGACTTCTGCCTTTCTAAGACAGTGTTTTAAAATGCAATTCAGTAATTAATGAAATTGTGATATAAATTTTAATGTAAATGTTTTATTGAAGTAATATATATGAGAAGTATTGAAACCATAGGATAATGTGATACGTTTTCACAAAGTGAAGACACCTGTGAACCGGCACTAGATCAAGAATCAGGATATTACCAGGACCCTTGAAGTTCCTTGTGTCATCTTCCATTGTCTTATCACCTCCTTTAAACACATATAAATGGAACCATATCTTCTCTTTTGTGCTGCTTTATTTAGATTCGTCCGTGTTGCTTAAGGAGCTCTGGTGGTACAGTGCTTAAGGCATTTGACTGTTAACCAGAAGGTTGACAGTTCAAACCCACCAGCCACTCCATGGAAGGAAGATGGGGCAATCTGCTTCCATAAAGATTTACTGCCTCAGAAACACAGTGGGGTCACTAGGAGTCAGAATTGACTCGATGGCAGTGGGTTTTTGGTTTTTCATCCATGTTGCATACAATTGTAATTTTTCCATTCTCATGCTGTATAGTATTGGATTTTAGGCATAAACTGTAATTTCTCTATTTTACTTGGAAGGACATTTAGGCTTTTCCAGTTTGGTGCTAGTAGAAGGAATCCAACCAGTGTTTTATAGACAACACAGTAAGAGATTTAAAATATCAGATATGTATAATAAGGTGTATGTGTTGTCTTGAGAAACCTTACTTTTCAATTATATATATATATATACTAGCTTCTGGGTTGTGTGTTTTTTGACAGTTTTATTGAGATATAACTCACACATCACATAATAAAAGTTTGAGAAACACTGCTTTATGCTTTAGGTCATTGTCATCTGGGTGAGACGATTTTTCCTTTAGAAACAATTATAAAAAAAAAAAAAAAGTATCTCTATCCCTAGCATCGTTAATTCATTCATTGAACAAATAACTCGTATCTGCCCCTTGTGAGCCTCGCCATATAGGATATGCATGGCCCTCATGAAGCTCACACTCTTTTAAGCTTAGACCCTCACTCTAAATATCAGCTCAGAGAATTGCTTCTTGGCCCCTAGAATGAGATCATAGTAGATTGGCTCTCAACATAAAATGACTCCTTGCCAAGTCACTATCCTAATTCTTTCCTCAGATACTTTGTACCAGGATGGTTAGATATTTGCATATAATGCCAGAAATGTGATAGAGACTTAAAAACTTGAGTAATTATTAGGTATAATGTAGTCTAGATTGTTTCCTTCTATTCCATTTTTGTTGTTAGCTCCCCTTAAGTTGACTCCCCAACTAATGGCAGACCTTTGCACAGCAGAACAAAGTACTGTCTGGTCCTGCGCCATCTCTATGGTTGGTTGCAGATCAGATTTTGATCCATATGGTCATTATTATTTTATTAATTTTGTCCTTGTTGAGACTATTCACAGAAAACACACCAATTCAGCAGTTTGTACGAGTACAGCTCAGTGACATTGATGGCATTCTTTGAGTTGGATCCATAGGGTTTCATTGGCTGATTTTTAGAAGTAGGGAGGCCTGTCTTTCTAGTCTATCTTAGTCTGAAAGTTCTGCATCATAACAACACACAGACCTCCATGGACAGATGGGTGGTTGTTGCGCTTGAAGTGTGTTGACCAGGAATTGAACTCAGGACTCCTATGCAGAAAGTGAGAATTTTCCCACTGGACCCCATTGCCCCATTCCAATTTTACAAGTGTATATATAATGAAATAAAATAGCTTAGTAAAGTGAGGGTTGGCAGACTTTTTCTTAAAAGACTCAGATGGCAAATATTTCTGGCTCATTGGCCTTAAGGTCTTTGTCTCAACTCTTCAACTTTGTGATTGTAGCACAAAAAGTAGTCTGATGATACATAAATCAGTGGGCATGGCTACATTCCAGTAAAGACTATTTACCAAAACAAGCAGTAGGTCCCTAACATAGTTTGCCAACCCCTAAGCTAGAGGAACTTAATGTCTATGCGACAGAATAGTGCAAACACTAAAAAAGGTATGGTTTTTACAAGGTGGCTTATAAACAATTGCACTTCTCTAGTTAAGAGTGTTTCTGCTTCCAATGAGTTTTACAAGTGAGCCCTTTCTCTTGTAGGACATGCTAAGAAAACACTTAGGATTTTTTTCTAACATGGAGAGATGCTTGGTTTGATTTGATGTGGTTTTCTATGGCTTAGGCTGCTTGTTGTGACCAGGAAAATTAACTTCGTCTTGTGTTAGGAGAGAATCATGGTACTCCCTATCTCAGAACCCAGTAGTTGTCATTGTACCCAACTACCTCTGCCTTCAAATTAATAGTGTTTCTCAAGCGTTTAGATCCTTTCCTTTAATAAATACGTCCTACCCCCCAAAAAAACCCATAATTTGCTTAACTTCCCTTGTTGGACTCAGAATAGGACATTGTCAGGTGTTAGATAGGGCTGTAGCCTTGGGATCAAGAATGTGTTGGAGAAAGTTTCCATGTGGAAGGAAGCTTTCTTTGTTGGTTACTGGGGGAAGGGACGGGAGAGGGAAAATTGCTAGCTAGGTAAGAGGGAAAAACACAGTGTGCTCAAGCCCTGCATCTGTTATGCACATGATGTCAGGCAAGGCATATACTTTGTTTGTTTGTTTGTTTGTTTTCATTTGTAAACAGAGAAAATCCTTTTTCTACTTCTCAAACAAGGCAATATTTGTGAAAGTGCTTTGTAAACTAAAAAATGCTCTTCAGATGTAAGGTTATTTTTGTGTTTTTCATTCTACTTGTACAAATATTTTTATAATACTAAGTAGGTTCTCTTGTTCTGATTTTCTGTGCATCAAATGTCCTTCCCCAGAGTGTCTCTAGAAAATTATTTCTCTTCTCTAAAACATTGTTTGACTCAGTTTTTGTATACAAATGTTCACCCCAGAAAACTCATAAGAAAGAATATTCAAGGAAAGACTGATCAAGCAGCCAGGTACAATGGTTTTTTCTCATACAATGTATGTAGTCTTTGGAGAGATCTCTCTCGTTATTAATGCATCTGTGACAATCCTGACTAATTTAGAACTTTGACAGCCTTTAAGAGTGGAATATAATTATAGTTCCAGAAGACTGAATTCAAATCAATGAATAGAAACTATGATGGATCAATTTTTATTCAATATAAAAAATAACGTTGTAGCTGTAATGGTGGCACAAGATGAAAAATGTCATCAATGTCCCTGAGCTGTAAATGTGGAAATTGTTATGTTGGTGAATGTCTTGTATATGTTTTCACCACAGTAAAAGTAAAAATAATAACAACAATAATGATATTCTAGTTTTTACATGGGAAAAATGGCTTGGGCTGCTTTTTCAGGTAGTAAGCTCCCTGACAGTGATCATATTCAAGGAAATACCTAATAACTGCATGTCATTCATGCAGAAGAGGAGATTCCTGCTTTGAGTAACTGTAAATGTTTTCTACCTGCGAGTCTAAACTTTCAGTATAGTTTCTTACATGTACATAGGCCTGGTAGGATTTATTCTGTTTCTCTCCTACTATGTATTCAAATTTCAGTTTATTCTACTCTCTTCGTAGCTTTTAAGTAACTATGGCATTGAGGAGTCTGACCGGTTGTTATTGTATGAATTTTTAGCCATACAGAGCTCTGATGATGATGGTCATTTGCTAGTAACACACACACACACACACACATATACACACATACACACACATACATATATATATGTATGTATGTATGTGTATATATATACATATATATAGGCATAGGCTATCAGATTACTTGCTTCCTGGTTTTTCAGTTAATATACTGGGCACCATATAAAAAGTTTCCTGCTACTCCTCTAGAATTATTTTCCTTTCTCAGCTGAAAAAAATGCTGAGTTTCCTTATTTTTAAGGAACACATAGTGCTAGTGTTGAAATAAGGGATATATATATATATATTAGATCCTTAAAACTCCAAGACTTAAGCAGTGCTTACTGTAAAACAGTTCTGTAGGATGGTGCTTATCTTCTCTCCTCTCTGTTTCAGTTCTCTCAGCTACTGGAAGAGAAAAATACCCTTTCGATTCAGCTCAGTGATACCAGTCAGAGTCTTCGTGAGAACCAGCAGCACTACAGTGACCTTTTTAATCACTGTGCAGTTTTGGAGAAGCAAGTTCAAGAGCTGCAGGCGGTAAGAAGATGAGAGGCTGGGAAAAGTGGTTATGACGTTGTGTGCAAGTGATAAAGCATAAAGAGCAGCACTGAAGAGGGGTCAGGCTGAAGATTAATTAGATGGGAGAGAAGAAAGTGAAAGAGATGCGAACAGTAATTGAGGTGGGAATCAAAAATGGTAGCGTTAATAGATTAGGAGAAAAAGGTCAGTGAGGTGGTAGGAGAGAAATTAAGCAGTGAATGGGAAACCGATGAATGAGGCAGTGTTAGATTTTGCTTCAAGAAATAACTCTTTAGGAAGATGTGGACCAAAGAAGTCAAATAAGGCAGAGCTACTCCGTAGTGAATGGCAGTGCACTGTTGCAGTTGGAGGAGACAGAGAATTAGTATGGAGATAAATTGGACACCTAAAGAAGAGGAAAGGCACTCTGGCAGCACAGTGCTTAAAGCATCTAACTGCTAACCAGAAGGTTGGTGGTTCAAACCCACCAACCACTCCATGGAAGCAAGGTTGGGCAATCTACTTCCATAAAGATTTACTGCCTCGGAAACCCAATGGGGGTGTCTATGAGTCAGAATCAACTCCATGGCAGTGGGTTTGGTTTGGTTTTTAAGGAAGAGGAGGGGAAGGGCTCAAAGAAGTGCCTGTAAAACCGTAAGTGTCCATTAGAGGGCAGCAAACTTTGATAGTAAGCCTTTAAGCACCTAAGAGGAGAGATTCAAAAATGAGAATCTGGAAGAAAATCTAATCAAGGCAACATACCTACTCTACTTTTATGTAGAGAATTAATCTACCTTGAAGAAAATTATAATGGGACTATTCTTCCCCAAGATTTTTCATTCTCTCAATGTTAAGTGAGTTCTCATTTTGCCCATGTGAGTTCCATATAAGCATTCATCATTGATTCACTAAGCTTATTTTTTTAGGGGCCTCTGAATATAGATGTTGCTCCAGGAGCTCCCCAGGAAAAGAATGGAGGTCACAGAAAGAGTGCTTCTGAGGAACTGAGGGAGCCACAGCTAAGGTAAGGGAGTAGGACCCTCAACCCTGGGGCATACACTACGTATACAGATATTTGGGTGGTAATCTAGATTGAATGGAGTCTACAATATGGATTTAATCTGTTGTATTGTCTTCTTGGCCTCACAGAATGGATGTGAGGAGTAATAAGTACATTCCAAACTTCAAAACCAAACACTGCCATTGAGTAGGTTCCAACTCATAGTGACCCTATAGGAAGGAGTAGAACTGCCCCGTTGGGTTTCCAAGGCATTTACAGCATACAGCCTCATCTGTCTCCTGTGAAGTGGCTAGTGGGTTTGAACTGCCTACCTTTTGGTTAGCAGCTGAATGCTTTAACCACTGTACCACCAAAAAACCAAAATAAACCCACTGCCATTGAGTCAATTCTGACTCATAGTAACACGATAGGGCAATATAGAACTGCCCCCATAGGATTTCCAAGGCTGTAAATCTTTATAGAAGCCGATTGCCTCATCTTTCACCTGCAGAGTGGCTCGTGGGTTCAAACGTCCAGCCTTTTGGTTAGCAGCCAAATGCCTTTACCACTGAGCCACTGGAGCACCTTACTACACCACGAGAGTGCCTTTAATAATGTATTAGTGACTAACAAATAATTGTGTATGAAAAGTTTGGAAAGCAAAAATTCCAACACCAACACACTCACAGAGAGAGAAAGAGAACATTAAACATTAACAAACACTATGATATTAAAATAAAGGGTATTCATTCAATCCCCAAATTCTCTCAAGGCATTCTCTGCAGCTTTATTTAATCTCTGTACAGCTATGCTTTAATTTATTTTTTTGATCATAGCCCTTTTTTTGTTTTAAAACTTTTTATTGTGATTTGTGTGAAATTTTACAAAGCAGATTTTACATTCTATAGTTCATGCACATTTTGTTTTGTGACACTGATTACAATCCCTGCAATGTAGCAGCTGTCCTCCTACTTCCTCCCTTTAGTTACCCTTTCCCTGTGTCCTTCTTGCCTTGCATTCCTGCCGCCCTACCTTTCTCCCTGTGCAAATGCTGCCCTTCTGAGCTCCCATGGTTGATTGTAAAGGAGTACATCTCCCTGGTGTAGTTGTTTGGTTTGTAGGCCTGTCTGTTATTTAGCTGAGAGTTAAGCCACAGGAGTGAGTTCAGTTCCACACCCAAAGGGTGACTTGGGGCAGTAATCCTGGGGATTTCCCCAGTCTCTGTCAGACCAGTAAGTCTGGTCCTTTTTATGATTTTCAATTTTGTTCCACCTTTTTTCTCCCTCTCTATCTAGGATCTTCAATTTTGATCCCTTTCTGAATGGTTGGCATTGGTAACACATACTTGTTATATTTCTTTTTTCTTCACCCATATCAACACCTATCTCTTAACTATCCACCTGTTTTCTCTCCCTCTCTATCCCCTCCCATCCCTGGTAACCAATAAAGAAAATTTCCTTCCCTGTGTAAACCTTTCCTTGACTTTTTATAATAACAGACTCATGCAGTATTTGTCCTTCTGTGATTGACTTATTTCACACAGCATAATGTCCTCCAAGTTCATCCATGTTATGAGGTGATTTCCTGAAGATTCTTTATGTTCATACAAGCATCTATAAGTTTTCCTGCTTTAGAACCTTCTGAAGACCTCACGAAGACTTCAAATAACATTTATTAGCAACTGTGTTTTGCATTTAGTGGATGCTGTTTGTTTTCTTTTATCTGAAGCTTTTCTGAAGCCCAGCAGCAACTGTGCACCACTAAGCAGGAGGTGAATGAGTTAAGGAAGCTGCTGGAAGAAGAGCGAGACCAAAGGCTGGCTGCTGAGACTGCACTCTCCGTGGCTGAGGAGCAGATCAGGAGGTAAAAGGCTGAGGGAGAGCCTCTCCTCACTTCTGATGGTTTCTGCTCATACAGGACAAGTATGTATTCACGTACATTTCAGCAGCCAGACTTCAGACCTTATTTTTTTCTTGAAATGAGGGGTGCTGTAGTGAGTTTTAGGGTCATTATGGTCACCCAAGAGAGCACTGGGTCTAGGAGGCCCTTACTTTCCAAGCAGTCATTCTTAGAGGGTAATAATAGCTGCTATTCATTAATAACTCATTATACATCTTATAGCAAAAAAAAAAACCTCACTGCTATCGAGTTGTTTCTGACTCATGGTGACTCCCATTGGGTTTCCAAGGCTGTAAGTCTTTATGGAAGTAGATTGCCCCATCTTCATTCTGTGGAGCAGCTGGTGGGTTTGAACTGCCAACCTTCTGGTTAGCAGCTGTCAAGTACCTTATCCACTTGGGATAAAATATCTTCTTAGCTCATTTCATACTCATAACCATATGAGGTAGTTGTCAGATTCTCTAGAAGGCCAAATAAATAGTACCCTATTCTCTGTCTGAAATCTGAATCAATTGAAAAATTTTTTAAACAAGATTAAAACATGGGAGATGGAAAGATTACTTTGGAATGCTTATATGGAAAGAACATAACTTTTGATTTGCTGGCAAATGTGCTTCCTAACCCTGAACTCCCCTTTCTGGTCCCAGGCAGTGTTGCTCTAGAATAGGCTTCCCTCCCAGGAAAAGATCTGCCCTTGTAAACGCTAGAGCATTGGAGTAACAGGGCAAATTGCATTGTTCAAGAGCAGTTTGCTCCAAGAGTGATTATGGAAGAGCAGCACTTCACCACATCCCAGCTCTGTAGCCCAAACTCACCAGTCAGTGGACTCACTATGGGTGAGGAGGTAGAGAATGGCTGTGTTTTGCTCTTGGATGTCCCTTTATATGGAAGAAAAAAAAAAACAACAACATTAACAACAGGCATTAACTTTTACCATATCCAGGGAGAAAAGCCACCTGTGTAACATTGGCTCTTCCCTCAGAGTGGCACTTATGATATTAATGCCTTCTTACAGAGTTTAGGAATTTGCAGAGGTGGCAGCCTCAGTCATCTCAGATATATGTCTTCTTTGGGGTGCATTGCTTCTCCATGCGGCGTTTTCACAACTTCTAAATTTTCATGCCCTTTTGGGCCTTGCTGTGCACTTTGAAGGTGAACTCTATAGAGACACAGCACAGTCTTCAGTCTTTGCTGAGCATTTTCAGGCCTGTGTACTCCTGGACTGTTTCTGCTGCCACTTGCTATGGAATTGTTTAGTCCCATGAAACTTGACCCTTGGGGAAGGTATCTCCCTCATATGTAATTATCTGTCCCAAGCCAACTTGAGACTGCATGACTCTCGAGCCTGTGGACAAGCCACACTAATCCACATTAATACTTTCGGCCCGATGCAGAATGGGGCACTGGGAAAGCTAATCCAGCGCTGCCTACCTAGGCCTGGTACTGACATTTTAATGTTAGAACCTCACATACACTTTATAGCATATGCAGAACTCAGTAGCCTAGCATTTAAAAGCAGCCAATACTGTTTGTTACACCAACACCTACTAAACTGAAAAACCCAAACTCACTGCTGTTGAGTCGATTCTACTCATGGTTACCCCTCCTTAGGTTTCCGAGGTGGTATCTCTCTGGAAATAGATTGCCCAGTCTTCCTTCCAAGGAGTGGCTGGTGGGTTTGAACTGCCAGCCTTCTGGTTAGCAGTAAAATGCCTTAGGCACTACACCACCAGAGCTCCCTACTACCATCTCATTTTCAGGCTAACCTACGGAAGTTGACAGACTTACTCATTTATGATGAAACCTGTGAGAGCCAGAACATGACAGGACTGCCTTGTTTTTACAAATGTCACAAAATTTCTGCTTTTGACAGAGTGCAGTCTTATCACTTTTCTATCGCTGTCTGTTGGAAAATATTTGAGTTTCCTTCTCTGGCAGATTTCCACCTTACAGTTTTCAGCTTTTGCAGGTTTTGTAGTAAGGGACCATGCTGGACCAGATCAAGGCTTCCCCGGAGAAGCTTATCACGTGAAGGCAGAGACAGAAAGTATACTCTGCAGTCAGCCCAGCTCTCAAGAGGAAAAGATGTCCATAGCATAACAATTGGTCTCTATTCACCTGGAGCAACAGAAGAAAGAGAATTAGGAATTGGAGGGGGAAATGGAACTTGTGGCTAATCGCCTCCATGAACAACTGCCTCCTTTGCCATGAGACCAGAAGAACTCGATGATGCCTGGCTACCATTACTGAACTTTTTGATCAGAGGTTCCATAGAGGGATCCTAATCAAAAGGGGGAAAATGTAGCACAGAATTTCAAATTGTCATGGACTCTAAACTTTCTGGAGCCATGGAAAGTAGATGAACCCCTGAAACTATTGCCCTGAGGTAATCTCTAAACCTTACACCAAAAATATCCCCTGAAGTGTTCTTAAAATGGAATAGTAGTTTAGCTTCACTAGTGAAAAATGTTTTCCTTGAGCAGTATGCTCTTTTAGGAGCTATCTATATGGGATCAAATTGACAACAGAAACTTGAAAGATTAGACAGGAACCTTCAGGGGCAGTGAGTGTATGTCATATATTGAGGGAATAATAACTCAGAAAAGGAGGGTGAGAACAGTTGCACAACTTGAGGAATGTAATCTGTCACTAAATTGTACATGGAGAAACTGTTGAATTGGTATATGTTTTGTTGTGTGTATTTTCAACAACAACAAACACAAAAAAATAAAAAGGAAAAGCGGGAGGAAGGAGCTAGGCTATGTATACTGAGTTTCTCTTTCTAAATGTACAAATCAGATTAAGCCATTCCTTTTCTTCTGGAGAAAAGTACATGACCTGCAAAGAGAGACCAGAAGTATTAGACTAATAGGTATGCCTTCACATGGAAGGAAACCTCGGTAGAGCTTCTGTCTCCCCACCTCCGTTTAAAAGGGTGTCCATGCAGGCAAAGGCTAGGTCAGATGTGCTATGTTACCTGCATCTCCTTTGATACAGTTAGTATTTTTGTGAGAAACCATTGAGAGGATAAAGACAGCTAGTTGAAAGGAAAAGTTCATTAAATGGAGAAGTTCTAGTACTAAATAAATGGACAAATTGGTTAAAAAAAAAAAATAGATCAGAAAGCAATAAAGGCTGCTGACAGTTCAGTTTAATTCTAAGAACCCCACAAAAATCTTTCTTGGATGCTTTTACCTATTAGTTTTTAATACATTTAAATATATAAATAAATATATACATACATTTCTCTGAGATGTGATCTAATGGGAGAAAAAGAGCATGAGGCTTAGAGACAAAACTGTTTTGAATTCTGGACCTACCTCTTACTAACTGTGCCTGCATGAAAAGTCATTTAATTTTTTATGCCTTACTTTGAAGATTATAACACTGACCTCAAAGCATGAGGACTAAATATATATAAAACACCCAGTCTGGCACCTGATAGGTAGTAGCCAGTCAGTTCATAGTCGTTATTACCACCTTTTACTGTTGCTGAACAACACCTGTCTTCCTTTAGACTCATTGCATGAGGACAGGTATTGTGGTAGCAGCCTTAACTGGGAGTCCACTGTGCTGCATCACCTGGCAAGATGGCTGGGAAGACTTCACCTGATTTGTCTCTCATACTTATGAACCAATGCCAGTGTCTTTTTTCTCAACGTAGGTTGGAGCACAGCGAATGGGACTCTGTCCGGACTCCTATCATTGGCTCCTGTGGCACCCAGGAGCAGGCCATGCTAATAGATCTTACAAGCAGCAGTTGTCGAAGGGTAAGAAGAGAAGAAGCATAAAAAGAGGGGCTCTATCTATCAGACAGGGCTGGCTGTGTTGAAGGCAGGAGGCAGAGAGGGAATATGTGGAAGTCTAGCTGGTGAATAGCTGATGGGACTAAGACTGAAAGAGTGGAAGGTTGGGGGGAACCTGGTAGAATTTGCCAATCAGCCCCGAGAGACCTTTCTCCCAGGATACCTCTTTTCTGTACTGATTGGATCAGTGTTGCTTAAATGCAAGACTGCTGGGGAAAGGGAAGGGGGCCCGATCAATAGAAGGAAACTCTGATGTACAGATTTGTCTTTCAGACCCGGAGTGGTGCTGGATGGAAGCGGGTCCTGCGGTCGCTCTGTTATTCCCGGACCCGGGTGCCACTGCTAGCAGCCATCTACTTCCTGATGATTCATGTCCTACTCATTCTGTGCTTCACAGGCCATCTATAAACTTAGTTGTCACCTTTTGGACCCCTCTCCTCAGAACTTGGAATTCTTCTACCCCCTAACATCAGAACCAATGGAACAGTCTTTACACTTACAGGTCATCTCTCAACTCTCCATGGAAAGTGCCTGCAAAAACAGTGAAGAATATGTACATAGGGTGGAACTGCAGGGACCAGCAAACAAGTCTGTTTTCTTCTGCTGCCCACGGCCTGAACAAATCTGCATAACCTGAGGAAGCCCCACAGTTGGTTTGTTGAGCCTGATATTTGTTCAGATTTTAGGAGGATTCAGATTATTAGTTCTAATAAACCTATTATTAGATACTGAAATCCGGTATCATTTTGATTGATACTTTCTTTGCCTCATCTGACTATATTTCCTTCTACTTAAAGGGGAAGATGGCACTGCCAAGTTCTCAGGATTGAACACATGACCTTACAGGACATATGATTAGGTCTCTTGCAGAATAGGGTGGGAGCTGAAGAACTCCCCAGGGCCTGGCGTTTAGCTGTTGGGTCCCAGAAGAGGACAGCATCTCCTTCCCTGGCTGTTTAGACATATTTGGAAGGAGAATTTGTGGTTCTGGGCTATAACAATAGGATTCCATGGCCTCAGCCCCTGACCTCATGTGTACTAAGGAGTTAAGTGGCCTGTGCCTTTTACTGAAAGTCTGGAAGAACTGGCTATGGACAGTGAAGCTCAGATTCTTGTCATTCCTGTGTTATCTGGATATGCCTTTAATGTGTATTCTGAGATGGTACCTGGGGTCCAGCAGGAGCCAGCATAGATGAGGCATTAATTCCCAGCCAGGGGGTGTCTGACCAGAGATAACTCTGCAGCTCTTGGATTCTTGACGTGTTAAGCTACTGGTTTGCTGTGGTGATGGTTATTCCAGTTTCTCAGCCCCATACTCATCTGCCTTCTGTGGTAACAGAGTTCTGAGACAAATGGAAGGAGAATACAGGGAAGATGAGCTATTTGAATGTAGGCCTGAGAATGACAGCCAGGACTGAACTCCATTTGTGCCTATTTCTTGTCCCCCACCACTCACCCACTAGTTATTTTTCCTGTTTATGCACATGATGCATTTCCACCCAAAGAAGAGAGAAGACTGATGGACTGACTGTTCTGCTCTAACTCTTTGTTCTCTGGTGACAAAGTCTTGGTCACAGCATCCCTAGAACACTCCTGAACAACTGTAAAATAATAAAATTATTTTCAGAATGAAGCATTGTGGTGGTGTGTGCATGTATGTGAATGTAGGATGTATACATGGGTACTTGTGTATGTGTGTTCTCAAGCTGGGGGAGAAATGTACTTTGGGGAAGTAGGTGGGGGTGGGCAGTTGGGGACAGATCCAGGGGTAGAAAGCTTGACATGCTCAGGCCACCTCACTGGCCAACATCAGGGGTAGCTGCATGTCGTTCCTCCAGCCTCAGCCACTAGAGCTTGGAGTGATGAGGTGAAGTGAGGAAATCCCGTCCTGCCACTGAACCAGCCAGGGGCCCTTAGGGCATGAGGTTCATAAAGCATTTGAGAAGAGAATATGCAGGGTATAGTCTTGGAAGAACTCACTGATACATACATTAGGCCTATATGGATCTCTCTGGGTTGGTGGAGTGGAGGAAGGGAGCTTTAATAGCATATAGCCGATTAAATAGGCATTGTGTTTTAAGGTCCCAGGGTGATGCGCATGGCTTGTGCTTGGCTACTGACCAAAAAGATTAGTGACTTAAATCCACCCAGTAGTGCCTCAGATGAAAGGCCTGGCAATCTACTTAAGTAAAATTTAAAACCAAAACAAAACTCACCATTGAGTCAGTTCCATCTCATGGTGACGTCATATGTTACAGAGTAGAACTGCTCCTTAGGGTTTTCTTGGCTGTCATTTATACAAAGTGCAAGCCAGGCCATTCTTCCATGGCGCCACTGGGTAGGTTTGAACCACAAATCTTTAGGTTAGTAGTCAAGAGCAAATCATTTGCACCATCTAGAGACCACCTGTAAAATTGTTGTTAGGTATCATCAAGCTCTGACTCAGCAATGCTATGTACAACAAAACAAAACAGTGCCCGGTCATGCGCCATCTTCACAATCCTTACTATACTTGAGCCCATTATTGCAGCCACTGTGTCAATCCATCTTGTTGAGGGTCTTCCCCTTTTTGGCTGACCCTCTACCAAGCATGATACCCTCCACAGAAAGAATTACAGCCACTGAAAACCCTATGGAGGTCATGTCTACTTTGACATACATGGAGGAACAATGAGTCAAAATCAATGCAACAGTTGACTTTTTTTTTTTTTTAATACTGTGTTTTAGGTGAAAGTTTGCACAACAAATTAGATGCCCATTCAAAAATTAATGCACAGTGTTCTTTGACGCTGGTTGCCATCCCTGCAATGTGTCAACACTCTCCTTTCCACCTACCTGCCCTGTTTCTATCTCTCCAGTTTCCCTGCCCCTCCTTGCCTTCTCATTTTTGTTTTGTATAAATTATCATCTGGTCTCCTATTGTTGATTGTTTAAAGGAGCATTACTCAGGGGTGTTATTGTTTATTTTATAAACTCACTCCCTACTGCCGTTGAGTCAGATCCGACTCATAGCGACCCCTCCTTGGATTTCCGAGGCGGTATTACTACAGAAGTAGACTGCCCAACCTTCCTTCCGAGGAGTGGCTGGTGGGTTTGAACCGCCAGCCTTCGGTTAGCAGTCAAATGCCTTAGACCAATCTATTATTTGGCTGAAAAGTGCCTCCAGGAGCGGCTTCAGTTCCAAAGTAAAAGGACATTTTAGGATGATAGTCTTCGGGGTCAGGTTTGGTTTTGGTGTGTTGCCAGAGGTGGATTACCCAAGAGCAAGGTAAACACAGGCTTACTTTTGCTTGCTTACTAATCTGTAGTGAATAATTTCAAAGTCACGAGAAATTGTTCCCTACAGATTAGTAAATAAGGACAAGGAAGCCCTGCTGACCTTGTTTACTGGTTGCTCTGTCCCTGTGAGGACCTCTGGTAGGGTAGTACCTAAGGCATTTGACTGCTAACCAGAAGGCTGGCGGTTCAAACCCACCAGCCACTCCTCAGAAGGAAGGTTGGGCATTCCTACTTCCGTAGTGATACTGCCTCGGAAACCCAAGGAGGGGTCACTGTGAGTCGGGGCCGACTCGATGGCAAATAACAACAACAGCAACAACAACTGTCCCTGTGAGGGATTGTAAATGTGAAGAGGCTTTGATTCTGTAGGAAGGTGCTGTGGGCTTGGGGGAGAGAAGATGCCAGCCACACGCAGAAGCCAAATTTTTGATGTGGTGAAAAAATGTGAAATTGTTCACTACAGATTAGTAAGTAAGCACAAGTAAGGCCATAATTACGCTTACTGGGTAATCTGACACTGGATATTATGATTTTATATTAAGTTGCTGCTTGAGAAAAGATAACACACTTTTTCAAGGTACAGTTGAGTGGCTGAATTGAACTGGGTCTATGTGGCTTCCAAACTCATGTTATTTCTACATGCCACTGACTCAGAAACGAAGTTAGGCTATTTATTAAGGAATCATGGGATGTGTTTAATCAGAGATGTCTGATTAAATTCTAGGATTTCTCTAGTAAACTGTGTACCTGGGTGGAGTGTCAAATATTTAATTTGATGATAACTACTTTTGACCCTAGGAATTCCAGATCTGAAAGTTTGTGTTTTTTTCTTATACAAATTTATTCTTCCTTAAAATAAATTTGGTGCTGCCATGATAAATTATAGGTCATGAAATAGTGTGGAAAGCTGAAGTGGAAGTCCAAAGAGGCCCCTCACTGAAAATTGCAGAACTTCAACAAACTAGCAGGCATGGTTAAAGTAGACATTAATCGTAGTGACTAACCTGCTGTTTTCCCCTCCCTTTTACTTTCTTTTAAGTAAATAGAATAGCCAACCTTTTTATGGGTTCTGAGTTTCTTTAGGTTTGTTATTTTCAATTATACATTCTCCTAAGCATAATCCTCTCCCACAACTGGTTTTGGTTGAGAACCATAGTCTATGAAGCAAGATGACCCTGAGAAGAGGGATGCTGAGTCCAGAGTAACCAGGTGAGAGAAGAACAAAGACATTCCTGGCAGTCCAAGGGACCTTCAGGTCCCTTCTCATCCCTGTATGATCATGTTTACCCCTTTGCTCAAGGAGATAGAGATTTTAGAGAAGTGATCCTGTCTACTTGGGTATTACTACTCAGTCAACCTTTTGCTTTCCTGCTTCAACTTGTGATCATTGGCTCTTTGTGATAGGGGGTAAGGACCTTATTGTTCCTAAAACACCTTTCTGGGTCCCTGGTTGGGCTTTGCCCTTCTGAGATATGGTGGCCCCATCTCCAGCTGAAGCACGGGTGGTCTACTCTAAGCAGCCACTTGGATTTCCTTTACCAGGCAGACTTCCCACTGCCTCCATCTGCAGGTGGCACCACCAGCCCATTTTGCATAGAAGAAGAAAAGCAGAAGGACGATTTCAGGAGCCAAGTTTTGGGGAGTCCCCTACCCCTTTTCCTGGTTGCCACAGGACTGGGACAGAGGGGTGAGAAGGTCTCGCCCTTAGTCACAATAGTACCACTCAACCGTAGGAGGAGAGCAGGCTTGGCTGACCATCCCGTGGGGGTTATCCTGCCTTGTATCATTTTTCAGAATTTTGGCTTAGGGGCAAATCGTTTCAGGATCAGGGTCTCGGGAGCATCTGGTGCATGAGTATGACATTGTGTCTGAATAGTTTCTATGTCCTGTTTTTGTTGGAATAGTTTGTGCATCCTTTTTTTATGTATAAAGTATAAATTGTCCATTTGTTATTTTTTATGTCCTCACCCCCTCATGTTCTCACAACCTCTTGATAACTTGAAAGAAGCATAGCAAGCTCATACTGGTGTTTGCTGACCTTGACAAGCGTTACACTTAAAGAATTTTTTTTTCATTTCTCAAGGGGCTCATGTGTGAGGACAGGAATGTTTAATCTCCTCTAAACCAGT